TCTAAAAGTCTGGCAAATTGAGTGTCTACTTTGCTCATTTGCATGATACATTTGATCCACACGGCATAAAAATCGCCCATTGTCAATTGTTTTGTATATATTTTGTCTAAATATAAGCTGGATATAAAGCTTTTAATATATCAGTAATTAATTTTCCATTCTTCTCTGATAGACATTTTTCGCGATCATTGCTTTGGAGTGATATTTCTTGGCAAAAGTTTTTTTTAACTCTATTAATCTCTCCAACATTAAATAGATTAGGTACCATCTTGTGCAATAATCTATCAGTGGTTTTAAATTTAATTTGGACAGAATAGCCATTGTATTGATTGATATGTAGATAATATAAAAAAATTTAATTTGAAAAGAAATCACGAATTTAAAAGTTGCCCCCAAGGAAAATAAAAATTTCAATTTAGGTTAGTAATTTAAAATTAATTAACTTTTAAATCCGTTTTAAATATTTATAAGGTTCGTTCTTCTTAAACTTTCTTTATAACGGTTCGGTTACGGTTATGGTTCAGAAAATTATAACGGTTCGGTTACGTTTATGGTTCAGAAAATTATAACGGTTCATTCCGGTTTGGTAGTTCGGTTCGAAACCCTGCTTATTATATATTTTTCATTTGAAAATTTTTACATAAAATATAAAAGAGCCTACTTGCGATAAATAAATATTTTTATAAATTAAAATTAGAGCTATTATATTTTCCAAAAAAAGGGGAAGGGGTTCATAAATAAAAATTTTTTAATTCCTTCTAAATGTTTCAAAATTTTCCCTATTATAATATTCTTAAGCACGAATATTATACTTTTGGATAAGTCATCCACACAATTTCCTATGGAAAAAAATCAATTTATAAATATAATAATTTATAAGTCACTACCTAACAGATATAGGGGAACCAATCATTGTTATTTTATGATGTAACTTCCTGTGAATGAATAATAGTCGTCCGAGAATTGTATGTATTTAAACACAATTATTATGAATGAATAGAATATATAAATTGTTGTATTATGACAGAATCAACCTTATTATATTGTGATTAATATGTAACATAATTAATGCTTGTAAAACTCACAAATTATAAAAAATAGTTCAAAATTTGCTAAAAATTATTTCCATGATCTTAAATCAAATAATAATTATAATCCTGTGTTTCAAATTTCCCAAAGTTGATGTAAAAAATTTAAAGTAATTACATATTAATATTTTTAGCATATTTTAAAATTAATTTTAAAATATAATCCTTGCACAACTTTACTCGTTTTTCTTATAAAGTGTCAGTCTCCTAAAAAGTTTCAAAGCAGTGTCAATATTTTATTAGACCTAATGTTTAGAATATTTTTCTACTATAAAAAACTTTTACTGGGCTCAAAACAAGTATATAATTTTATTTATATTTCCAGATTTTTAGGGGAAAGTTAAAAAGTAATGGAATCAGAAATTACTTACTGAACCCAAGGGTTATAAAATATCTTTCCAATATCAAAGTTATTTAAATAAGCTTAAAACAAAGATCTAAAATAAAATTTTTCTTCGTAGAATAAATTATAATGCCAGTGACACCATATTAATAGATCAAATGGTTTTAGAAAATATTTATTATATCAGAAACTTTTTATTTGGTTCTTAGCATAAGTAAATAATTTTTTTATATTTCTACATTTCACGATTAGAGTTAAGAAAAATGCACTATAAATTTATTTATAAACATAAGTTTAAAACATCTTTCTAAAATTATAAACTATTAACTAGGATAAAAACAAAGTTTTATAAAATTTTTGCAATTTTTTTCCTTATGGACTAAAATATAATAACATTGCTAATTTATTATTAAACCCAAAAGTTTTTGAACATTTTTTTAGTATCATATACTTTAAACTAAGTTTAAGACAAAATTTTAAAAAAAATTTATAATTTAGTTCCTCGTGGAGTATGCCAATTTATTACTAAACCCAAAAGTTTTAGAACATCTTGCTAATATCAAAAACGATTAACTAGGTTTATAATCTTAAAAAATTTACAATCTTTTTTCCTCGTGGACAGCAGTGCCATTTATTACAAGATCCAAAGGTTTAATAATATCTATCTAGTATCAAAAACTTTTAACTAAGCCTAAGATAAATTTTTTAAAAATTTTCATTTATTTTTTTCTCGTGGAGTAAAATATAATGGCAGTGCCAATTAATTACTAGACCCAAAGGTTTTAAAACATTTTCTAATATCATAAACATTTAACTAGGTTTAAAAAACATCTCAAAAAAATTCATAATTTTTTTCCTCCTGGAGTTGAATATAATAGTGCTATTTATTACAAGGCCCATAGGTTTAGGAAGATCATTCTAATATCAATAACTTTTAACTAGGTTTAAGATAAATTTCTAAAAAAATTTCACAACTTATATTTTTCTTGTGGAGTAAAATATAATGGCAAATTTATTACGACCCAAAGGTTTTAGAACATTTTCCTAATATCTTAAACAATTAACTAAGTTTAAAACAACGTCTTAAAAAATTAATAAATTATTTTCCTCGTGGAGGAAAATATAACAGCAGTGCCAATTTATTACAAGACCCAAAAGTTTAAGAACATCTTTCTAGTATCAAAAACTTTTAACTAAGCCTAAGTTAAATTTTAAAAAAAATTCGCATTTATTTTTTCTTTGTGGAGTATAAATGGCAGTGAAAATTAATTACTAGACCCAAAGGTCTTAGAACATTTTCCTAATATCATAAACACTAGGTTAAAAACAACGTCTTAAAATATTTCATAAATTTTTTTCCCTGTGGAGCTAAATATAACAGCAGCTCCAATTTATTAAAAGACCCAAAGGTTTAAGAACATCTTTCTAGTATCACAAACTTTTAACTGGGCTTATGATAAATATTTAAAAAATTTTCACAATTTATTTTTTCCTTGTGGAGTAAAATATAATGGCAGTGCAAATTTATTACTAGACCCAAAGGTTTTAGAACATCTTCCTAATATCATAAACATTTAATGAGGTTTAAAACAACGTCTCAAAAAAATATACAATTTTTTTCCTCGTGGAGTAAAATATAACAGCAGTGCCATATTATTACTAGACCCAAAGGTTTTAGAACATCTTCCTAATATCATATACATTTAACTAAGTTTAAAACTACGTCTGAAAAAAATTCACGATTTTTTTCCTCGTGGAGTAAAATATAATAGCAATGCCAATTTATTACTAGAACCAAAGATTTTTGAACATCTTTCTAATATTAAAACATTAACCCGGATTAAAACAAACTAATTTAATTTTCTATATATTCAACAAATTGACCCAGCAGGCTGACCCATCAAGCCAACCATGCAAGCCGACCCATTGGGTCGGGTCTGATCTATGGCCAAATAGGTTAGCAGGGTAGTTTTTTTCGGCTCAAATCTTGCTGGGTTTTTGGCCAAGCCGACCCGACCCAGCAATTTAACAACACTAGGTCCATTCTATAAAACATTGTGTAAAATGGCAACAGAGTTATATTAGTTTCATGACTTGTCAATGTGAGTTGCTAAGAATTATATTACCTTATGTTTTTTTAAAAAACATTATCAATTGAGGCATATGTATGAATTAATTAACCTTTTTTTATCACTTGTAATTCTTTAATGCAAAATTTTTTTTATCAGCGAAAATATTTTATACTGTAATAAATAGATTTTGTATTAAAAAATATATTTAGAAATGTCTTGTATTATTTTAATTATTTATATGCTAATTTATTTATCAGGCCGAAGGCCCGCTAATTGGGAGGAGGGGGGTATGGGTGCGAAGCTCCCCATAAATTTAGTTGAGCCCCCTGAGATTGTAAAGGCTAGTGACGCCCCTGCTATTGGTTTAACTTCAAATTGTTAATAAATTTAAAGAATAAAATAATGATTTTAAAAAAACTTTGTTTAAACAAATATATATTTTGAATAAAACTATGAAGCTATTGTTTTAAAGAAACCTGGATATTTTTCCTAATTCCTTTTAATTGATAATTCTGAAGCGAAGAAAAAATGCATTTGGGATATCTCACTCTCATAATAACTATTATATTAAAACTTAAAAAAAGGCTTTAAATAATTTGTTTTGTAAGCCGCTTATTATTTCAATCCTGGAAAGCTTAGACAAAAGGTATACAGTTCAAATATTGCTTACAATTTATATTTTGATTATCTTTTATTTTCAATAGATTCAAACACATCTATAAAGATGAATATATACTATCCGCAATAATTCACCCGCTATATAAATTTGAATGGCCCTGGATAAAATTAGAGGTCAACTAAGGAAGATTGCTAGCACTTATTTCCAGGAAAAGATCTTGTTAAAGAAAGAGGAAACATATTTCCTTTATCCAACACACATACCAGAATATTTTCTGATAAAGATAAAAATTTTCTTGATGAGGAAATTAATGAAGATCCTTGTGAAAATGATCTATTAAGCTTCTTTCAAAATAAATATTATTCTTTTAAATATTTTTAATAAATTCCCCGAATTAAATATTGATAATTTATTAAATATAATACAACTTTCCTATCCTCTGCGCCAATAAAACGTGTGTTTAGCACGGCGAAAGCTGTGTTGAGCACTAAGCGCTCTTGTTTGTCTGATCAAAATTTTGAAAATCAATTTTGCTAAAAATAAACATTATTTTTGTATAATTTTATATATGAAATTTTTTTTATAAGAAGATCTTATCTTATATATTCTTTTTATAGTTTTATTTATATTATTTATTGTAGGAAAAAAATAAATATTTTTTTGTATATTATATTTAATTTTTTAAATAACGAGTAAACAGTTACTTTTTTGAATAGTAAGTAACGAGCGTTTATTTTTTAAAAAGGTAATGAGTAAAGGTAACGCGTTTCGTTTTTGTAGTAACGCTTACAGCACTACTAAAACGCATAAATTTTATATAAAATGGTATAAAATTTTTATTCATAATTATAATTTGTAAGAAATGTCTAAGCATAATGTTTGTAATCATATTAAATTTAATCTTTAAAAAATAAACGATTTAAATACACCCTGCAATATTATAAAATAAAAAACAATTGATTAATGTAATATTGACCTAAATGCAAATAAATTATAAATAAATATCACAAATCCCAACACTGGCCAAATTTTAAATATAGATTATATAAAATAATTAAATGAAAGGGCAACGTGTTAATAAAAAAAATAGGTGCAAAAAAATTTACTATAAAAATTATAAAATGATACATTTAATTTATGTTAATAAAATAAAAAGGAGGAAATATTTTAAACGAAAAATATTTGTAGGAAATGTAATAAAAAACATGATTTAGATAGTTTTTCGGAATCAATACACAAAAATTTCATTATCACTGTAACCAAGTTTAGAAAGGGCTGGGCTAACGGCAAATTTAATCATAGGCGGAGGGCCACAGGTTAGTATTAGGGTTTCCAGATTTTCCACAACCCCGTTTGAAGTAGTTTGAGAAGTAGAACCATTAGAAACAGCAGAAGGAGATGGTAAATGTTGAGATATCATCTTGGCATTGACATAACCTATATCGTAGGGCCATTCTTTGCCAGAATCCTTAGGATCTTCAGTTAGTTTGTCGACAGTGTACCTAATATAGAGTGAGTTCAAATTAAGTTATATTAAATTAAGTGTTTAGAAAATTAGAAGTAAAATAACTTTTTCTGGTCAAGTAAACAATTTATAACTCAAAATCAAGTACAAACTCCATTTATTTAAATTGCCATGATTTACAAAGATAAATTTAGAAGAAATTAATTATTTCGGTGGATGTATTTATTATAATATATATAAGCAAACGATGTGAATAAATTATAAAAATTCTTATAGAGAATTTATAAAAAAATCGCCAATTATTTATATTTTTAGTCATACATATAGCGTTTTTTATGTATTAAAGTGACTAATCTGGATCTAATTAATAAAAGGGGCACATATGTTACTAAAAAGGTGTAAATCAAAGGATAATCCATTTTACCAATAACGAAAACGAGTAGGAAACATTTTAGCTAGTGCTTCAATTTCATCCTTTAATAAAATATCTTTTTCAGTTTGGTTGGCAAACAGTAAATCAAATTGTATGTCCTTATTTCCGGGAGTAGGGTTCAATAAAATTGCTTGGAGCATTTGAAACATAGGTGTAATACCTTTTTATATATTTCATAATATGGTAAATTATTTATAATTTTCGATCCATATTTCACGAAAGAATTTAATATATATGATGTGTTTCTTCTGATGTTATTTTTTTCAACTTTAAATCATTTTTTAAGCGCATTTTTTTTAAATTTAAAAATCTAATTTTACAAATGTATTCCAACATGTTTAGATTACCTACCCTATAAATGTCAGACAATATTACTATGAACTTTTGAACTTAATAAAATTTATATTAGATTTTCCACTTTTTAAATAATAAATTACTCAAATTTAACAGCAAAATTGTCTACAATTCATAAGATAGGTATTCCAAACATATGGAATATATTTCCGATAAAATCAGATTTTTAAATTTAAAAAAATGCGCTCAAAAAATTATTTTAACTTGAAAAAATAACACGTTGCCAGAAAAAAATGTATTGACGCTAGCATATATTCTTGATTTATTGTAAAATATTTAAGTTAGATAACCATGTAAAATCGACCGATTAGATTTTTTAAAAAAATTAATGTAACTTAGTGCGTATAAATATTGTAAAATTTATATAAATCAAAATTTTAAAGCTCTAGCTCATGGATCTGAGATGCGATCTCTGTTTTAAGAATCCCAAATTACTCGATAAATGTCCTTAAATTATATATCATTTTGCAGCCATTTAAATTGACTTTAAGGAAATGGCCAAATGAGTTGTTTTTAGGGTTGAGACGATGACTTCAGATATGTTTATTACCAGTATAGAAGATGCTATCGTTAAGTTTTTATAAAAAGATACACATTTTTTTTAATAAATAATAATATATATAAAACATCAAATATATTATAATTAATAGTAAAAGAGATACCTTAAGAGATACAAAAAAAAATCTAAGGCCCGGCTAGGATTTTTTTAAAATATATTATATTTATTCTTTTTATAGCTAATAATGGCGATTTCATTTGGTTTTAAATATACGGTTCGGCACAGACATTCAAAAAAAATTTCAGACCCAGTCCGGTTATATTTAAAAAATTAAAATACACTCCGGCCTGTGTACTTGGGCCGGCCATGCAGGTCTCCATGTAAAATAACCTTTATGTATGCCAATTCAATATATGATACAGCTACGATTATCAAACATTTGAACGTTATTGATAAAAATTTTACAATTTATGATAAAAATAGAAAACAGCGTTTATAAGAAATTTCTAAAAAAATCCTTCTTTTTTGAGCTCTTTAATTTTTTGGACATCAATATAATTCCTTGGGATAGGGCCTAACATATTTTTTCCAATCTGGACCTCATAGAATTTTAAAATAAAGGATTTACTTAAATCGGGTCAGAGCAGGCTCAAAATATTTGCCTCTGCTATATTCAACCGTATTTAATATTTTGTAATAATTATACATTTGAAAAAAATATTTAACAATATAGTTGCCTCTATAGTTGGATTTTTTAGTTTTGTTAAATGGTTCAAGTTGAGTTGAGCCGATTTTTTAAAATGGCTAGCTCTATTTTAGACCGAAAAACATTGCCCAAGTCTCGAGATTTCGCTAATAAATTTCCAAACCTTCCATCTATGACCGAAATAATCTGGCTTGTAATATTTTTCTGGATAAAATATTGAGTTGGCTGTTTTTAAAAATCGGCTCAAATCGAGCCATTTAACAATATTAAGTTTTTTCATTCCCAAAATTATGAAAAACGAAATAATTTTAAATTATAATTTTCTCCATTCTAATTCTTATTTGAATACATTTGCAATAAAAATATTTTACAACTTTCATCGTCATGGGGCTATTTCTAAAAAATCATATGGGCAAAAAATGATATATAATATGATTGAACCAAATATTTATCAAATTCTACAAAATTATTAAGACCGATCGCGCACCAGTATTTGGATTTTGAGAATTTATAATTCTGAATCCATTTGAGCTAGAGTATTAAACCTATAATAATTATATAATCTATACTCTATATAATTATGACATAAAGTTTAATTCGTTTTCAAATAGGTTTTTTGGAAAATGAAATGATTAAATATGTGCATAATTAGTATTCGATTCGAATGATTCAACTAATTCGTTTTTTAAAAATGTTAATTCATACAAATATATTGATATAATTATTTTTTTACACATCTAATTTTAAACATAAAAAATTATTGTAATAATCTGATGCTAAAGAATAGGCCTATTCAAAAAAAAATCGAATATTCGATTCGAATAATTCGAATAGATACGAATACGAATAATAAATTATTTGTTTTATCCGAATACGAATAATCATTTATTCGATTCGAATAAAACGAATTATTCGAATAAAACGAATTATTCGTAATATTTAATAAATTGCTTTTTTTTAAAATAAATCTAACATTTGTCATTTCTATTTTATAACCTGCCAATCTGACAGGTGATGAGTTTATAAAAAGACTAACAAAAATTTTAATTTTAATTTCCCGTATTTTTTCAAAATTATTTATATTAAAAATTACACAAACCAAAAGTATATAAAAATATATACAAACCAAAGGTACATAAAAATATATTAAATCTTTATAATAAAATATTGTTAGCTAGCCTAATTATGTTAGAGGAGAATGATTCTGATGAAATAGTTATGGTTGATGTTGACAAAATTTCTTCACAAAAAAGAGCGATTATATGGGATCAATATCAACTCAATGGTGAAAAAGGCTGCTTGCAATCATTGCAAGAGCATTATTAAATGCAAAGGCAAAACAACATCGCCTCTTATTAATCATTATAATAGGTTTCATTCACATCTCTGTAAAAACAGTAATAAAATTGACACTTTTTTAAAGCCTATATCACCTTTTTCTTTATCTAAAAAAATTAATTATAAAGATAACTTACTAAAATTATTTATTAATAATAATTTATCTTTTAAAATTGTTAATTCACCTGATTTTAAAAATTTTATAAATGATCTTGATTCTTCTATAAAATCAATATGCTCCAATACTCTTAAATTGCATATGTAGGATATAATATCCAAAAATAATAGTCAGATTAATTTTTCATCTGATATTTGGACTAGCCCAACTCAGGTTCCTTTTTTAGGGTTAACAGCCCATTTTATTGATGATAATTTTAAAATAAATAACATAATTTTGGATGTTGCTCCAATAAATGAACAACATTCAGGTGAAAACATATTTAAAGCCTTTATTAAAATAATTAAAAATTATAATTTGGAGAATAAAATTTTTTATATAACTCTAGATAATGCTACTAATAATAAAACATTTATTGATACATTTTCTTTAAAATATCCATCAATAAAAATAGGGCACATTCGATGCTTTGCTCATGTTATTAATTTAATATCCAAAGAAATTTTAAAAATTTTAAACCCATCAATTTTAAAACTACGAAACATTATTAGGATGATACGTAATTATCCTAAAAAATTAAATTTATTAAAAAATATATGTAGTTCACTACATCCTCCTATAAATTTTTTAAAACCCAAATTGGATTATGAAATAAGGTGGAATAGCACCTACCAAATGAATGATTGACGAGATTATTGTTAAAGCCTGCTATAAAAAAATTAGTTAATGAAGTTATAACTAATATTATAATTCTTCAAGAAAAACAATTATCAGAAGTAAACTAAAATTTATAAATAGGTAAATAATACTTTATTAACATAAGATACAGGAGGAATGGGACGATCTTGTAAAAATTAAATCTATCCTATTGCCTTTGTATGAGACTACAAATATGGTTTGTGGGGAAAATTATCCTACTTATAATTTGGTTATACCCTATTATATTCTAATTCTTAAACACTTAAAAAATGAGAAACCTTGTTTCCATAAAACCTCTAACAATGATTTCAAAGTGGCATGTGATAAATTGTTGGGCTATTACAATTTAATTGCAGATGATGCAATAATAGCTACAATATTGGATCCCAGGCTCAAAATAGAATATTTTAAATCAATATCTCTTGATTATGATATTGATATATCCAGGTTAACAGACAAGTTTAAAGAGATTTACAGCAGATATACAGGTATTTAATTTACCCCCATTTAAATACATATCATTTTATTTTATAAGCTGCTGATAATTACAACTCCCAAAATAAGAATGAAAGTCAACAAAACAGGCTTCATTGTTTTTAAACAAAATTATGTTCAACTATGTGTAATCGATTTTTACCTGAGTGAGCCAAGATCAAAGAGTGATACTGGTCCATTAATGTGGTGGAAGACAAATGCACATAGGATCCCCATACTCTCAAAAATGGCAAGAGATTATTTATCTATACAAGGAACATCAACTGCGTGTGAAAGACTTTTCTCAGTTGGCACTAATTTGTTGTCAAAAAACCGCATGTCGTATAAAGAAGAAAATATAAGAAAAACCCTTTGCCTTAAAAATTGGCTTAAAATTATAAATTAAATGAATAATATAATATTTTAATTTTGTTTATAACTTGATTATATTTATTTGTCATCGGATTATTATAATTTTTTCTGTTTGAAATCAAATTTGCAATAAAAAAATTTGTCAATATATTTGAGTATGATTTATTTTATTTCAATTATATTCGAATAATTCGAATCGAATACAAATAGTAGATTTTATTATTCGTACGAATTCAAATAGTAAATTATTCGATTCGTTACGAATAATGCACTATTCGATTCGAATACGTTTTTGAATAGGCCTACTAAAGAACATGCGATTAAGTTATTAACGAAATCAAAATGCATATTAATTTAATTTATAAAAGCCAACTAATTTTTAAAGCAATAATTTTTATTGTTTCTTCTTTATAAAGCATGCGATATTTTGACCTACAATTATCATTATAATCCAATATTTATTTATCAATTTTTATATAAAAATGAATTTAAATGATTTTTAAAAGATGAGAGAACAAACGTCTATCTGCTGAGGTATAGTTGGGTAATTACTATATTTGCCGTTTAAGCCAATTTTTAGCCATATCATTTTTGCCTCAGAGTTTTTCTTAAAAATATAGTAGCTAAAATTTGAAAGAAACTAGTATAAATTAAAACGCCTTAACTTTAACGGATTTTCTCTGATATGCGCCTGTAGATTGAGTCGAATTATAACATTTAGGTTCATATAACGTCCTAAGATCCTTAAAAAATTTATATAATTTAAAACTTAATTTTTAAAAGGTTTAATAAATAGTCGCAAGCTTAACTTTAAAAGCGATTAAGCGTCGTCAAGGTTATAAATAGAGAACTAATTATTTATTTATTTTTATATTACCCAACAATATAAAATATTAAAATTCATAAATGGGCTGAACTCGTCTTTTGAGTAAAATACTGAGTACAAATCATCAACGATTAGATAATAGGAATAGAAAAATTTTATTTTTATAAAAATCTTCGCCGGTTGTTAAGCCAACGTTAATTTGAAATTAATTTATTTTGTCAATTTTGTAAAATTGATTATCGTCCTATTTCTGTAATCAATTTCTACATAAATTTTTGAGATAAATAATATTTTTTATAAATTTTCAACAAAATTTATTTTAAAATAGTTTTTGTTTCATCAAAATTTTTCTTTCCCTTCTATTTATTTAAAAGTAAGAATTTTTTTTCTATTTACTCTTGCAACACTTACCCTGCATTTACAGATTGCGCGAATTGGCGGCGAAGTATATAATAATATATTGTAAGAATTCGTGTTAACTGTGAATGCATGGTTACTTTTTTTTATTTAAACAATATATTCATATGATTTTGTCTTTATTTATTAAAAAATGATAAATTTTAATATTTGGATCCACAATGTTTTTAAGGTAATAAAAAATGTATACCAAAAATATACATCATATCTAATATTTTTATTTAAAAAATCCTTAATTACCAGGGATGTGAATTCGATCCTCGTATTTTTGCTGAACCCAAATCCCTTTAAAAATTGGAAAGTTCAAGGGTGCTAGGTGTCAAAATAAAAAAAGATTTGTGGAATCATTTTTTTTTCTTCAGATTTTTCAATTTTCTGGTTTTTATATTTACATTTTATAGGTAACATTTTATTATAAATGATATCTTATTAGAACAATTATTGATTTTGAAAGATTTCTGTCTAGATTATATAGGCATGTGTTAAATCGAATTGTCGGAATATGATTGTAGTTAAATAAGGAAAATAGTGATCTGCATCGAGCCTAATTTGCCAAGCCCGGTCAGACATAAAATTTTTTGAAAAAATTTGTCCGGCCCAAAATAAAAATTATTTGACTGCCCAACCAGACCTGAATTTATCTAAATATAGAAAAATTTAATTTTTTTTATCGTAAAAAAATATTTAACAAATAAAAATTAATAGCGACATGTTTCTTGCAGGAATTTTAAAATATATCTATTTTTTTGACAAAATGTAATATCCTACTTAAAATTTTAAACCTGACCCGCGTGCCTAAAATTTTTAAAAAATATTAAACCCGACCCTGTCCGAACCGAAATTATTTCGTGATTTGCAGATTTCTATATTTGGAACTCAAAAATAACAACGCCTAGATTGAAATCAGAACAATTGTGATTGTCCATATTTTTTAATTCGTTTGTAAATAAAATTATTTAACTTGTAAAAATTGATAAGAATATATAAACATGTTATTTTAACAATTTTTTGCAGGTCAAATAATTTCATTTTCAAATAAATTAATAAATATGGAAATGTTTTGAATTAAATCTGCACAACACTGTAGTTAAATGCCAATTAAATTTTAAAAAACTAATTAGTCCTTTTTCATATGAAATATTGGAAAATATGAAAATTCGAGAGCAGAACTATTTGCAAAACAGTGTAGTATAAGCCTCTATAAATTTAGACCCTTGATAACAAGTTCTATTTAGTAATGAATTGATTAAAAATATATGATAAAAGACCATTTTAAAGAATTATAGCATAAGCTACACTCCATTTTTTACAAGATATTAGAGACCACTACCACATCTACTGGTTGTATTGATAATAAAGATAATACCTTTAATGACTTTGAAAATTTACTTTTAAGATAGAGAAAAATAAAAATAAAATTATCATCGGATAAAAAGGGATAGCACAAATAATTGCTATTACATTTTTAATTGAACAATTCTTACAAGTTAAGAGAATAAATAAGGATGGAAATTTTTAAATTCTTCATATTCCAGAGCTATATCTTCTATTTAGAATCGTCATGAGTGTACCAGCGACACAAGTATAATAATTTATAATATATTTAGATAGCTATTTATGTTAGGAGCGTATAACGTGCATTTTCCTCTTTGAAAACTGCCAGATTTGCATGGAAATCTTGAGCTATTAAATAAAACATTTAAGATATAAATAATAAAATAATTTTTAAATTTTTTACTTAAGGTATGTGTATTTATATGGAGTGTAAAAAAAGGGGAAAAAAATGAGGTTATTTTGACTCAATATTTCTTTATTCTTCAAACCTTGAACCTGGATCCATTTTTAAATTTTATTCCTGAACTTAGGCCACATTTTTGTCGAAGAGTTAACATCGAGTTACATTAATTTTAGTCGGCATATGCCTGCTGGCGGTAATTTTTATACAAAGAATTAATAAAATAAATTTTAAAAAAGAATCAAAAAAAAATTAGTTTAATATAATTTGGGTTGGGTTTTCATAAATAAATTTTAATAGTACGCCGCAATTTCTGCTCTTTGCACCTTTAACTATGTAAATTATCTGCCTTGGTATCAGTGCATATCTGCCTTCTATTGCTTCTATGGTCGCTTTGTCACTGCAAATTAAGCTTAATTTGCATTGTCTAACTATACAAATTATATTCTTTTTATCTCATAAATTTATAAAATATATTAAGTTGCAATAAAATTATATTTAATCAAAACAATATTCAATAATAATAATAAAAAGTAAATTAGAAGTAATGTATAATTTAACTCACAGTCAATTTAATTAAATTTATAAACGTATATTTATATTTCGTGATCAATATTTATAAAAATTATTCTCTCCAAACCCAATTTGGCATTGCTAACATTTATATGAAAAATTTTTAAAATAAGCAAACAAAATGGTAATTTTCTAAAATATGAGAAATATATTTTCAAAAAACTTTGAAATTCTTAAATCCAAACGTCAAAAAAATATATAATTTTGATAATTTAATATAATTTTTTTTATATATTTATATCCTAAAAATAAAAGAACCAGATGGGATGGATACTTGACCTTCTTTAGCTAGCGATGAAATATAAAAGTATTTTCAAAATAACAATTAAAAACCTGGAATAATAAATCTAGTCCTTTAATAAGCTAAAATGGATATTAAATTTAATAGATAAATTATATGTGCTAACCAGTGCCTCCAGCTATCATCCCAATTCTCTTAGTCCTGACAATTCTGGGGGGACCAACATTATCTTTATCTTTAAAGGTAAGTTTGATAGAAAACTTATCATCCCCCAAATATCTGAGTCTTCCACTAGGTCCCCTTACTTCAATTCCATCTCCTATTTTGAGACTATTTAGATGCTGAGTCATTTTCCCTCCATCTGGAAATTTGGGATGTACATCTTTGTGATAAATCTATTTATAATTATATTATATAGTTAATCTTTTATCATTAAATAAAATTGGAATTGCAACATTATGATTAACAACTCATTATAATAGGGCTGCGTAATCCACAAATTATTCATTGATCCAATTCGATATTTTAAAAACCAGTTCGAGAACTGATAATAATCCATTTATTTTTATTTAAATTTACTATCTTTGAAAATGTCATAAAAATATCGATTAATTTTTTTATTAACTGTAAGCTATGAGCAAAACAAGAAACACTGAATTTTTTTCTTTCCCGGGGCCAAGGCAAGCTTGCATGGACTGCCCGAAACCCAACCTGAATCTCGAACTGAAGACTTTTTCCAGGCTCAGGCCAACTAAATATTATACTCAATAATCATTTTGTTTAAGTGAAATGTGAATTAGAATAACATTTTATTTTTAATCTTAAATGACTCTCATTCAGTTACGTAATTTTTACCAAATTTATAATAGTCTATTTGTGGGAGTTAAATATGCTTTTATTTAAGGTAGCAATATGTAAATAAATACACCTAATTTTAATTTTTTCCTAGATATTATAATCTTTAAGCTCAAATTCCAAATAATTTTAATAGGGCAGGGCTCAGGCTGAAAACAAAGAATTTGTTCAAGCAGAGACCTGGCTTGGATAAAAAAAAAATTTTAAACTCGGGCTAGGGTGGAGTTCAGGCCACAAAAATTTCCCAGGGTTCTAGTGAAGGCTTTTAATTATTTTTCAGTCTGGGTCATGGTCTAACCCAGAGTTTTTAAAGTAGCATGCTACTTTTTCCCATTTTTTTAGTAAAATAAATTTTATATAATAAATATATTAAAGATCTGCAAAGTGTTCGGGCCTAATATTTTTTAAAAAATAGGTCTTGGAATTTTTTTAAAAATATATCTAAATTTATCAATTTTATGTTGAAATTTTGGGTATAATAATTTTTTAAAAAATTTTAATTATAATTTTAAAAAAATTTATTTCTAAATTTAAATAAATTCGGGCCGGGCTGACAAATAATTTTAATTTCGGGACAAATAAAAAAATTTTTTTAACTCGGGCTAGGGTGGAGTTCGGGCTACAAAAATTCCCCTATTTTTCAGTCTGGATCATGGTTCAACCCAGAGTTTTTAAAGTAGCATGCTACTTTTTCCCATTTATTTAGTAAAATAAATTTTATATATTAAATATATTAAAGATCTGCAAAGTGTTCGGGCCTAATATTTTTTAAAGGTCTTGGAATTTTTTTAAAATATATCTAAATTTATCAATTTTATGTTGAAATTTTGGGTATAATAATTTTTTAAAAAATTTTAATTATAATTTTAAAAAAAAACATTTCTAAATTTAAATAAATTCGGGCCGGGCAGACAAATAATTTTAATTTCGGGACAAATAAAAAAAAATTTGATTCGGGCCGGCAAAACTTTTTTAAATAAAATTCAGGTTCGGGTTGGCAAAACTTTTTTAAAAAAATTCGGGCCAGGCTGGGTTTGAAAAATCAGGGTGGATACAGATCACTAAAATATATACTATAAAAAAAATATTAAAATTTATTTATAATCTTTACTTCAAATTTATATTTCAAAAAATACTTTATAAATCTAAATTATTAAGTTATTTAAAATTTTAATATGCCGCCAATAGATAGACTTGGAAGATAATTCTGAGGCAGATGGTAACCACAAAAATTCACTAAACAATAATATTATGGAATTACCTTTTACTAAATTTGCAAAATATTTTGAACTTAAATAAAAACAAAATTAATATATGATTTATTCGATGCATAAAATAGTGAAGGACATTTTGGCTAATTTTTAACAAATGAAAGAGGATTTCATATTAGAATAATCAGATACCTCTTACATCTGTGCAACAGCAGATTGTTGGGACTCATGAACGTAAGTATTTAAGTTCTGATTTTTTATTAACTTAATTGGAAAGATCAGCTAAATAATTGGTAATGTTGATGAATTTATTCCCAACAAAGATACATTAATTAATAAATCGTTGTGGTATTTTTAAATCTAGAATAATCAAATGAACATTAATTTTTATCAGACTTGAAACCCTGCCTGGATACACTAGCCGCGTATTTTTAATTTTTAAAAATACCCAGGACGTCACGGGCCTAAAAATTTCTTTAAAAAAATACCCGGGCCGGGCCGTATATTTTAAATCGCCATCATTGGTTATAATAATTTTAAAAAATAGGGCGGGCCTGAAAATATAAAAGGCAACAAATTATTCGGGCAGTCTTTTTTATTAAGAAGTGGGCAATAAAATAAATCTAAGTGAGCAGTAGAAAAAACATTTAGTTGGTATTTTAATTTTTTGGGTAGTTAATATTTAATTCAAGTTCTTTTTATTGATTTGAGCGGTAGGCAGATCTGTGCGTGGTTACGCCGAAAACGCCGCCGTTTAAGATAATAACGCCGGCACGGCCGGCGCAGAAATTACTTTCATATTTTATACCTTTTTATTCTAATAATTGGTCAACATCACTATTGTAATTTTTTTAATGTCAATCAGTTTGATGAATTTTTATTTTCTACTATTTTAAAATCATAATTATATTGACGTCATTATAGAATTCAATCAATCAAAAATATAAAATTCTATAAGTTACCATAATTTTACATATTTTTAAAATGGAGGCATCTATATTTAATAATTCTATAAATAATTTTAGTATCCTAACTCTAGAAAATAAAAAATCAATAGTCTGGAAATTTTTTGGTTACTTACACTTAAAAAGAGATAACAAAACAACTTCCATAAATTCTGACAAATTTTACTGTAATTGTTGCTTAGAAAAGGAGACTATGATGATTCAAACAAGCCATTTTCATAGTTTATTTTTTTTAAATATTATTTTCTCATATATAGCCAAAATCTTTTCTAAATTAAAATATATTTTTTGTAAAATATAATCTAGCTATAAAATTCAAAACTTTTCAATAAACATTAGCACAGGAAATTTGTTAAAACACTTCTGAACATAATATTAAAGCAGATACTTCATCAAAATAGCAAGATTTAAAAAAATATTTTATATCCAAACCAAAATTCCAGACAAATTCTAAAACCTCTAAAACATGGCTTCTAGCAAGATATTGCGTTATTATGTTGTGCTGACTTATTACCTCTTCAATCAATTGATCATATAGGAATGAAAGATTTTTTGAAGGTATCAAATTTATAGATATATTATTTATTATAATAATAGATCTACCTTTATGTCTTTTTTGTTCTATTGAAATAGCATTGGCTACTGAGGAAGATTTATAATAGTTAAATTTTATAGCCATGCTAACAATATTATTACAGATAGACATATATGATTTAAATAATATTGGATAATTGCATATTCTTTTGTTTTAATCTCTGTTTTTGTATAGCTTTGCAACCCAGAATAAATTTTTAACAAATTTATTTCTTCTTGAAAAATTCTCCCTAATTTGTGCAGTACAAAAGGGGCCTACTTTAAACTTGGCGTTACTTTTTAGAAGTGAAATTGAAACATATTTAATAGTAAATGATAGTGATAGTTCTGAAATAAAGAAAATATGCTAAAAAAAACTTGTGCTACGATTTCCGGTTTGTAATCTGCAAGTAATAATATATAAGTATATTCTTTTATTTTTATTTAAAAGGTATTGGCTTCTCTATTAGACCCAAGATTTCAAAAATTGACAATTGTGTTAAAGTAATTAATAGAGCAAAAATGCTCAGCTTCAGAATTTATAATAAAACATCAACTTATAGAGAATGATGATAATCAGGTAGTAAATATAGCTAATGAGGATCAAGAGGAATTATTAAATTCAAGTTATTTGACAAAATTGGCAAATAAACATTCAAAAAATATAAATTATGATTCCAAGTTAGGTACTTAGAACAAGAATACCACAGTTTTTTGGAAAATCACAAGATGTTGACGTTCTAAAATTTTTAAGAGAAAAGAAGAGTAAACTTCCCAATCTTTCCAGGCTCGCCTAAAAAATTCTTTGCATTCCGGCGACCAGCACACCTAGTGAAAGAGTTTTCTCTACCGCTGGATTGACGTTAAATTCAAGGATATCATCATTATGTCCCGAAAATTTAAATAAAATAATTTTTATACATGATAATTATAAAATTACGAAATCGATTTTGGATTTATAATGAGTTTTCTATTAAATAAATATTAAAAATTATGCCGAGATATCTGTAGAGTAGTGTATATTTTTTTTTAAATTATTAAGCAATTAAAAAAATTTATGTTATAAAAATTTATAACTGCGCCGATTTTGTTGACGGCGGCTAAAAATCGGCGCGCGGCTGGCCGTCGATTTGAATTTTGAAAATTGAGCCGGCTGCCGATAGTTTCGTCGGCGCACAGGTCTATCGGTAAGTAGTTAAAATAATTTGGTAACTATTCAAAATTTTTCAGTTAATAAATAATTTTTCAGTTTTTATATTTACTTAGACAGTTTTAATTAATTACACAATTTTTAATAAAGATTTAATGAAACCAATTGATGAATATTGTTCCCATCTGATTACTATGAAGAACCTGGTAATTGTAAAAATGTAAAAATAAAAACTCAAAGATATTGCTGGTTTAAGGAAAAGATCTTCAAAAATTCTAAAGTCCAGAAATATCTAAATGGTAATTCCTGGGGACAACCATAAACAAATGATACAAATGGGTAAGAAAATTTATTTTAGATGTAATTTAGTATAAAAAAAAGAGCAATATGCTGCAAGAATTTATTTCCTTTATAATTCCAATGATGATAATGTAGCATACACATCTCAATATCATACTCATGAACTTATTGAAACTAAAATTCTCAAAATGCCTAGTGATATAAAATTAGAGATAGCAACTTTATTTAAAATTGGCCTCAAACCTAAAATGATTATGGAAATTTTTTTTAATATTTATTACCTTCAATAAATCAAATAATAAATTTTTAAATGACAAAAAAATATAGGCTATCAAATTTAA